ACACACATTCAGGTTTCTTGCCAAAAACTAAATTTCAATGTCATTATTTACCTTCGCCCCGTACACTCATCTTTAAGGCTTGCATGCATCATAAGTCAATGCAACCTCCGTTAGCGTTAGCCGTTAGCTCCCTTAAAAGCAGGACTGTGCTCGGGAATATGTCACGCCGCTTTATCCTATCAAAATAATTCCCTCACGGTGGTGATAGAGGACAAGCCAGAGCATTACCGAAGTAAGTGTAGACTGCAGAGCAACACATCTTTATAGAGAGGACATGAGGCGCAGCGATGCTAAGCTAAACCCAACTTACCCTAACCTTAACCTAAACCTCACCCTAACCGAAAACCAAGTCTTCACTCTAAAATATAACTATTTGAATTTGGTGAGAAGAATGTTATCAAAATTGATAGAAATAAAAAGGTGAACTCCCATACTGCAAAGAAAGCTAAAGCTGCTCTGGCTTGTCACTGTCTCCTGCTCTCTGGTCCTCTCTACCTGTCCCTCCGTCCTGAATATGTCTCCTCCTCTCTGATGGGTCAGCGTAGGTCTCTCACCGTTTCTGTGAATCTCCGGGATTTACAGTTTTTAAGCCTCCAGCCGGATAAACTTGAGTCATCTGCCAGCGAGAACAACTAAGTGTGTCGATTCTACTGGGCAAGAAATCAATCAGGCAACAGAGCCCGGCAGCCAAACAGCAGGCCTCGCCTGAAAGAGCTTTATGGAGCATGGAGGTGTAACGGGGTGTGAACAGCCCACACCTACAGCCCCTCTACCAACACTCCTACAGCTCACTCTCCTCTGGCCAGTGAAAGTTTGAGAGCCTGATGGGATTTATCGACACAAAGTTCACGTCCTTTTTTGGACTGCTTGTTTTTCTTACCGGATCTGCTGTTTTGATTTACAGAATATGATTTTACAGGGCAAACATTTCCAGAAGCATCAGATGTTCCGATAAAGGCCGTGATATGTGTAATAAAATAATGATAGAACTATAGCCATGTGTTTATGTTAACTCACAATGGATGTTAGGCTACCAGGTAGAGGGCACAGAGCACTGTGGCCATTCAACTCATCCAGAGTAACGAGCAGAATGATTTGTGCAAAGAACTTGCATCGATGATTCTCAGTCATCATGTTTCATATTTTATGAGCTGGGCCACACTTAACTTCATGCCGGTGCTGCATGTCTATGCTTAAGACATCGTAGTTAACTCCAGCTTCTTGAGGACTTGTTTCAGCCCTACTAGACGTGGATTTATAGTAACCAGGATACTGCGGGTCATGTGAACACGTCCTCCGATTTACAGTGATGGGCTGAAAAAAAAATCATGTATGTCGGTTGAAATCCAACCGCGGTGTTGTTAAACCAGTCTGGAGATACAGCGAGTAGAAGAGCTACGAGTAAGTAAATTAACTAAACTAAAGTCAGCTAACAGCTAGGCTAATTCATGCGGTGTAAAACGCCAGTCATTCAGGAAGTGCCCTGTCCTAGAGCTGCTGTGTGAACACTTTACTTTTCTAGACTACAGCACACTTCTAATGCGCTGCAGAGGGATTTATGTTTGGTTATCGTACCGTCTATGTAGTGAGGTGGCTCACACAGACGCTGGAATTGAAAAGCTGCAGCTTTCTATACTGTAAACTGTTGCAGTCTAATTTTTAAAAAGGGCTTTCTAAATAAAAAGGGGGTTGAGAATTATATGAAAACTATATGAAAAAGTAGCTCCGTCATGTAGAAAATTGAGGACGCGATTCACTGAGACGCATTGAGAATCGCTGTGCTTTTAAATCATTCGACAGGCGGCGAATTCGTAATGGAATTGTGAGACGACCGGACAACCCACCATCATAATGTCTCCGGCCTTGAACCTGCTAATAGTGGGTAAAAATGCTAAGTACTGCAGTCAGATGATCCAAAGTGACCTTAAAAACGGAGATAGACGGACTTACGGAGTAGACAACGTCGTAGTCCGCTCCAGTGAAAGCTTCATCCATCAGGTCCTCAAAATAATCGGTCAGGGCGTCCATTGTCTCTTCTGCCAGCTTGTCATACGCGCCTTCAGACAGCTCACTAGTAGAGGGCGACGCAAAGCTACATATTAGTTTCAAACATGTAATTCGGACATGGCGATGCTGAGAGAATAAAAGTGTGGGCCACCTTTTCTGCACATGCGGGGGGTTCTCCAGCCTCGGTGGTGTCAGGTGGATGTTCTTCCTCCACCTAACACCATCAGCTCTGCTCTCCAACCGCTGAGGACAGACAGTAAACAACAAGGACTCATTAGTTATCATCAGAAGTGTACATGTCTTTGTATGCGCCATATAGAATATTTACCGTCAACTTTGATATAACTTTATCTCATGGCGTTTCACATGAAAATAGATAAGGGAATCTGTGTGAGACAGTTCCGTTTGACCTTCACACGGTTTAGTTGTAAACTCTGTGTGTGGCGGGATTTAGGAGAAGACAGCATTAAAGCGCGTCCTGTGAGTTATTTCCTTCGTACAAATCCTTAAACTGTCAAACTTCTGAGTCTAGTCCGGAAGCACAACTTAACTTACTTTGTTTTGAGGATGACGGATGGGATGCAGCGCGTGCGTGGTAAGCGGACGAACCCCCGTCAGGTGAGACAAGCTCCTGAGCTAGAATATTAAACAACGTTAACATGCGGGTCAATACACAGAGTCAGTGAGCTGCGATATATGACGCAACAACTGACGTTAGCTTACTAGCTTAACGTCGGCTACATAACAGGAACTGTGTCGTGTGTCGGCGAACGTTACCTGGTTAAACAGGTTCCTGGTGCTCTGCGATGTCAGCATGTTGAGCTGTGTGTTCGCGAGGTGACATATCACGTGCGAATAAATACAAGGCGTTCTAGTGAGAAAGAGCATAGTAGTAGTACACCAAAGATGCTCTATATGCAGAGTTCACGCCGCTGTCCTGTGTCTGTGTTTTGTTTTTTTTCTTCTTCTTCTTCGTGTATATTGGCACGTCGCCGCTTAACGTTCAATGTCCATACTGCCACCTAGTGGATGGGAGTGTAACGCGCTTCTTCTTCTTTTTCACCGGTTGCGGCGTAAAAGTCAAACAATGACCTCCTAACGTTCATTCCTAACCACTTTTCCTTGACCTCTATTAAAACGTCATGGGGTCAAGGAGAGATGTGTCATGAGGAGTTAGGAAAAGACAACCGTGGTGTTTAGAGAAAACAAGTCCGACTACAGTTTCACTAAGCTACGTCATTATGATGCGATGGCGGATGTCACTGAAGTAGGTCTGCCATGGAGAAACTACAACGAAGAAGGACTACAAAAAGCTCAACTAAAACATGACCCCATGAAATCTGTTCAATATCAATATTTCCTTTGTGCAATAATGTTGATTCAATTGTTTGGGTATATTTAACAGTTTAATAATCTATCATAGGCCTAGCTTGTTTTGTTTTTACTGATGCTTCTTGTTATTGAGAATTTGTTCATTGACAGTTTTAACTGATCATTTTATTTCGTTTTTTTAAACTTATTTGTTATATGTTTGAATTAAATAAATACATATGAAATGAAATGTAAGGATCTGTCACGGTCTGTTCATATTTATCAACATGAATCCCACTACTTTATGACTGTATGAGTATAATTGTTAAACCTGTGTATGATAAGCATATCGTTTGTTTTCATGGGCAGCCGAATGGTGCGTCACTTTAAATTTTGCTGCTGCAAGGAATTGTGGGGCGGAATTTTGTAAACGAAGGTCCAGCATTTCCTATGCTAAAGGGGACGACACAAAATTTGTACAAAGAGACACAAATGACAACAAAAAGACCCAAAAATAGATCCAAAATGATAACACAAAGAGATATAAAGAAGGCCAAAATACACAAAAATGGTCGCACAAAGACACAAAGCCTAAAAAAACACACACAAAATGAAAACAAAAAGACACAAAATTATTACAAAGAGATACAAAACGACCAAAAGAGACACAAAATGACCACCAAGAGACACAAAATAACTACAAAGAGACACAAAATGACCACAAAGAGACATAAAATGACAACAAAGAGATCCAAAGTCGGTGTGTCTTGCTCCTACAGTAAGTAGGAGAGGTGGTGGGGCCTCTGGTCCATGGGGGGCCCCCTTGTTTTATAATCCACCCATGTCCACATACAGTTCTTTTAACCCAGAGATAGCAGCCTGTACACACAGTGTGAATGTGGAACCATCTCACCAACAGTGTCAGCATTCAGGACATTAAAGATGTATTGCAGGGTTCCTCCACCATGCCATTATTAGGATTTTCACATCAGTCTCAGTTTCATGTGTACCTGAAACAACCACAAACACGACGTCATCATATTCATGCTACGTCACAATGTACCTAAAGCGTTAAAGAGGAGAACGGAGGTTGTGTCTGTTCACCAATACCTGCTCTGTTACTTACAACCAAACTGCAGACCAGCTTCACTCCCACCGTCATTATTCATGACTCTGCAGCCGTCCTACCGGCGGTTAGCCAATCAGTGCGCTCTCAACTGGTGAGATGTGTCCGATTGGCCGGCAGCTTCTCTGGTGAGGGCCGGGCACCGAGAGATCATTGGAGGATCTCTGACCCAGACCTCTGCTGAGGGGATCCATTGGACAGGATGTGGTGGTGGGGGGGGGGGGGGGTTTAAGCCGAGTGATCTCATTAGAAGGGAAACTTTCACTAACCCGTAACTGTCATTCATAGATTAGATTAGATCTGTGCCGGAGGCAGAGCTCCCGGGTTCCGCAGGCCGACACAAGATCTAATGCTTGCTGCAATTGATTCTGAAGGCTGTTATAATCCGTTTACTATTAATAGTCACATGTTATGTATGAAAAACAGAGTTGCATTTCTGCTGACCTTTTTCCCAAAGCGTGCCATAGCGGACATTTTTTCACTCTTCCACTCTCAGGCAGCCATTAGCAACACGTTGCAGAGAGATTTTAAAAGTCACAACCACACAATGATGATTTAAGTCTGACAAAAAGAACGTGAGAATAATGCGGAATTTGTAGTAAATGAGTTGTTATTTTTAATTAATATTATTCTATTAAAATTTAAAAGGAAAAGTTTAATGGAACATAATAGAAGTTGTTAAACTATCAATAGAAACAAGAAGAAGCACCATGAATGAACTGTTGAGCAGTTATTTAGGGATGCATTCATTGAGGAATAAATGTGATTATGCAAAAATCTGTCCTAATGCACCGCGTTCATTGTAAACTGCAACAATAAATAATAAATGCATTACTAATGCATTGCATACAAAAAATACGTATTTATTATTTTAGTTAATAATGAACGTGGTACATTGCCAAGTAATGTTGCATAATCTAATTTATTACACATTTATTTATTATAAATGTATCCCTGAATCACAAAAGTAGTTGCATTTTTATTCAATTTTTTTTATTTGTATGCATCGATGTGTATTACTATACATAGGGCATCAAGATCATTGGCTTGCTTTTTCCCAGTGGACACGTTTCCGTTTACGAATGCAATCAGTGGTAATCAATAATCTATGAGCAGTGCAACAGAGCCGTGCCATGTGGAGCTTTCAGCGTGCACTTTTCCACAAGCTACCGGGAACACGCCGGGAGCTCCACAGACGCAAACACTGAGTAGAGAGATGGATCCACCGCTGATGTGACCCCGTAGCTCTTCAAGGCCGGTGTGTGGTGCATTTGCTGTCACGTTATTGTAAATTCGTGACAAAGACGTTAATCAAAACAGTACAACTTGACATTGTATAGTCCTTTTGTATTTATTACAAAATATATCCAAAATATTTGCCATCTGCTAGACTCACCATCACTGAATTCATTTCACCCACATTACATTTTGAAGCACCAACGGTGCACGCTCACTCCACATTTCCAGTTCACATTTGTGTCAGTAGCTCTGCATTCGGTACTGTAGGGAGTACGCCCCCTAGTGTTCAAAGCAAGGAAATGCACCTCTTCGCGGATGAACGATGTGTTAGCTGCTAACGTTTGTTGGAGCAGACGCTATTTTCTTTTTCAGCCCATTTCGCCACCGCAGAAATGGGAGACATGCTAATGTCAGTTTTTCGCCGCTTTGTGAAATATATATTTAAAAAAAAAGATGTATGGACCGCTATGCGTGTAATGCACTCTATATGTTACACAGCTAGCATGCAGTTAGCTAAATGTGCCATGGAACTTTTCAAACATTCTTCGAGCAGTTAACAATTTGCTAAGATAGCATTTCATGTTAACATTTCATGATAGCATCTCATTCTAAGAGGAAGATAGCATTTCATGCTAACAGGCCCACATGTGCACACATGTTTATATCGAAACCCGATGCACAAGTTCGTATTTTTGACCAACCCTCGAGGTAAATTCCGGACCAAAATAAAAACAAAAAACAGAGGGAGGATTTTTCCATTCCTGTAGGAATGAATGGATCAGTTGACTCACTTACGTACACAGAGCTATGCGGGAACGAGGCGTAATCTACTTTAAAATGAAGACTGTTTGCATCATCACACAGCGACAACAGCACTTTGTCTCGATTAAAACACCTACTTCTTCAACACTGTTCTTTAAAGTCATTTTCTTTGGTTGTGGAAATGCAGTGCGGAGGTGAGTTGAGCCACTGGTTTTGCTTCTTTAGGATGATCATGTGGAAATAAAAGATGACAGTAATTAACTGCTCTGCTTCGAGCCCCGTGAAACAGAAAATTAATATATGGTTTTCATATCCAGCATAGAGATTGGTCAAAGAGCACTTGGAAGACATCTGGGGTCTTTTGTCTTGATGAATGATTAGTCCCTTTCACATTGTCCATATTTCCCCGGGTGTACTGGTCCCTCAGGTGACCTGGTCTCACTGAAGGAGGCCGGGCTCCCCTCAGGCTCTCAGGAGGCCTTCTTGGTGCAGGTTCCTGGAGTCTCCTGTAGGTTCACCTTGGATCTGCAGACAGAACAGATCAGTTTCCATCACGTTGTATGTCAAATACACACTGGTTATAAATAATGTTTCTTATTATTAAAGAGTATCTATAGGCTGTAAATGGTGCGATAAGTGTCCAATGCATATATATAGGCAGCTCATAGCTGACTAAGGCTTAAACAGGTGTTTAAACCCACGTTAGTTTGTGTTATCTGGACCACGAGGACTGGCAAGTCTTTGCCTGAACCATGAATAAATGTGCCTGGATCACGAGTATTATAGTGTCTCTTAGTTTAAGTACTGTTATCTCAAAACCTAAAAAGGGAAAAAATATATAAGCTCAAGCTTGAAATGCTACAATAAGTATACAATTCATACGTAAATGTCCCTGTAAAGAAATGTAAAGAAAGAAAGCCGCTGGCAGAGATCGATGTTTTAGATCTTCAAAATATTTAAAAGATGTTATGTGTAAGATTTCAGACTCCATCCAACTGAAACTCCTCCTGTGTGGGAGGACTACGATGGCCAACGCCAATCTAGAACCCGTGTTTGGTTTGTCTGTAAATGGACGTTCGTTTGCTCTTACCTGTTGTGTGTCATGTGACTCTTGACCAGGTGGCCGGCAGCCAGGGCAGACATCAGTGAGAGCTCTCCAGCCAGCACGGTGGCACACACGACCCTGGCCAGCTGCCGGGCGTTGTCCCCCGGACAGTCCTGACTGGCTCCCTGCACGCCCAGCATCTGCACACACACACACACACACACACACGAATGAACACTTCAGGAAGTTAGCTAAATAGATTGCATTGATTCTAGCAGGATTTATATGTTGCTGTATTTATTATTGTGTGTGTACCTGGAGGCAGGCTTGCTGGGGGGGCAGGCTGGTGCCTCCTCCTACGGTGCCCAGCTCTATGGAGGGCATGGTGCAGGTGATGTAGAGGTCCTCCCCCGTTGGCCCCGACGCCTCCATCAGGGTGATGCAGTTACTGCTGCCCACCGACTGGGCCGGATCCTGGAGGAGCCACCCACACACACACACACACACACACGCCCGTTAACACAGGAAACACAAGAATACATAGAAAGTAAAAAGGCCGCACGATAGAACTACTTTACCTGTCCACAGGCTATGTAGATGGCAGCCACCAGGTTGGCTGCGTGCGCGTTGAATCCACCAATGCTGCCTGCCATGGCTGAGCCCACCAGGTTCTTACTGATGTTCACCTCCACCAGAGCCGCCGTCGACGTTTTCAAAACCTGCAGCACAGCGACAAGCGGGTCATGATATGGAATCTAGATTTAAAGATTACTTTCCTTCCGTGTGCTTCTGTGGCCGGCACACACTGTCTTCATTGTAAAGATGCGCGTGCTTTTAACATGAAGTGGATCTGGTATATCCTGCTGGACCTGATGCCAGGGATGTGTCGCGTAATGCCAGAGATAGAGACACCTGATAACTCTCAGCGCATACACCGTCTCTCTCTCTCTCTCAGTCAACCACAAACACTAGGCTGCGTACTGAGATGTTCCCTAAAGGAGCTGCACTACTCTTATAATATACTGCTGGCCTGCCAGACCTTCCAGACCTTCCTGGAACTCACCCTTGCTGCTCGTCCGTCAAGCTGTCAGAGCTACCATGGAGCCCACACTGTCACTAACTGCACTCCCTGGAGAAACACTATCTCTATTCTTGAAAAAAATAAAAAAACGACGTGCAATAAAACATGTGTTTGAAGGATATATCCAGGATGTCAAAGTGATTTAGCAGTGAAAACAGGTTAAAAAGATAAAAATCACAGTGTAAAAGTGAACCTGGTGATCGAGACAGAAGACAATGAAATTAAGGAACAATGTTCAAATGTTATGATCGGCCAGTCTACATTCGAGGGACGGGACTAAGCGATGGACCCATTGGTCTAAAAGTCTGAACCATCCAAAAAATACTTTCAAACTAACCGCACCACGGTTAAGTGCCGTCTGGACTGAGATCACGTATTTTCGTCGGACTAAGGGGCCGATGCCAGCGAGACCCCTTGCAGCAGGCACGGACGCTTCAAAAAAGGCAATTGGCAAAGTGAGTTGGACGAAACAGCTGATGAGTCGGTTATTTCTAAAACATAATTTGGGGCTTGCGCACAATCACATAGAGACCACATCACAGACTGTGACTACAGACTAGGGCCGTGAACAATCTCTTTTTTTTCTACATTCAAAGCTTTGATTGAGGTTTTTGAATGAAGCTTACAATGTCTGTCATCGTATTCTAGGATGTCATCAAAGAAGGATTTGGTGCAATTGCGGTTATATACTGTAAAAGTAATTTATAGTGCTGTTAGATTGCTGCCAGACCGCCTCGTTAATGCCTGCCTCCCATTGTGTGCGGCACGCCGGAGAGCAAACAGTTTTTTGAAGTACAGATTCAAGCAGAATGTTTTGTAAGATAAAAACATTTTTAAATTGGTTAATGGCTGTAAAGACCTCACACAGTTTGTAAACCACCAACAGTAAGCTCCCGGCTCCTCCTACCTCTCTGACCACTTTAGCGGGGATGGTGGCCTCACAGACGGCAGACTTGCCCCGGCCTTCGATCCAGTTGATGGCTGCTGGTTTCTTGTCGGTGCAGTAGTTCCCGCTGACAGCAATCACCTGCAGCTCTGGGAAGTGCTGCTGCAGTGTGCTCAGAGCCTGCTCTGTACCCTGCAGGCAGACCAAGTATCATTTTAAACAAGGCTGTTGAGGATGTTAGGACTCGCTAAAATGCCCTGATGGCGTGGAACAATACACATAGCCAGTCTGAAACAGTTACCTTAGAGATCATGTTCATCCCCATGGCGTCTCCGGTCTTGGAATGGAAGCGGATGTAGAGATTTCTCCCAGCCAGACCAACCAGCAGCTTCTGGAGCCGCGCAAACCTGCCAACGGCAACCATTAGCTCTTTCACACAAAAACAACGTATGTAGACACACAACAGACACCGAGCCCACACTTTGCGTCCTAGTTCTGTCCATGTCAGGTTTCATGGTTTACCTGCTGGTGTTGTCGAACGCCTCTTTGACGGCCTGAAAACCGTCTGTGCTCTCCAGCCAGGCCTTGACCTCAGCGGCGTGGCAGGCAGAGGGCAGTCTCACTACGGGTCCTCGAGTCATGCTGTCAGCCAGGATACGACAGTTGGCTCCGCCTCCCAGCTGACCGCAAGTCAGATACAGTACACATTAGAATAAATTCTGGATAATACAAACTTTCTTTTTTAGGAATAATGCATCTGATAACAGCTGATCAAACACAGAAGAAGTTCTACATGATCAACACAGGAAGGCACACCGTCATTTGTCAGCGTCTCCCATGACCCAACCCTCCATCCTGACCTCCTCCCTTAAAGGCACTATTACAGTGTCATAGTTCACAAGCAGGCTGCAACCTTCGGTTCTGAAAAGTGAAGCCAATGCTGAAGTGCCTTAAAGCTGCATTCTCTCTAGTGTCCACCAGGGGGCGACTCCTCTGGTTGTATAGAAGTCTATGAGAAAATGACTCTACTTCTCTCTTGATTTATTACCTCAGTAAACATTGTAAACATGAGTTTATGGTCTCAATCTCTAGTTTCAAGTCTTCTTCAATACAGCATGATGTTCATTTAGTACATTATGGTCCATTTAGAGTCAAACAGACCATAAAGCAGGGTATGTTTTAGGGCGGGGCTACTGTGATTGACAGGTCCCTACCACAGTGTTGTCCGCATTTTCATCTGAAAACTTTAACCCTTTCACAGTCTTTTTTCAGTTCATGAAAGTTAATTGTAACATTTTGTCAACAGTTGTGTAATGTGTCAAAGTTATTGAATTGAATATTTCAAGAACTCTGCACCACTACTACTCCACAACAATAATTGTAAGAAAGATAACAGTCAAACGTCAAATGTCAATAAAAGTGGCCTCATCTCTCCTCACTGTTTCAATTATTTTGTCCAACCTGGTATCTATCTATCTGGGTCTTTGGAAAACAACATATCTGACACTCACAGCGATTGCTCGACATCCGCGGTTGGTGCTGGCAACCAAGCAGCCCTCCGTGGTTGCCATGGGAACCTGGAACTGCTTCCCATCCAGATGCAGCGGCCCGGCCACGCCTACTGGTACGGGAATGTAGCCAATCACATTCTCACAGCAGGTGCCTATAACCTGGACAACAGAAACGTTGTCAAACAGGAAGCAGAGGGCGACACAGATCCCTGCAGGTGGTCCTGGGTGTGTGTGTGTGTGTGTGTGTGTGTGTGTGTGTGTGTGCGTGCGTGTGTGTGTCTTCACCTTGGAGTAGTCGTAGTCGGTGTACGGCAGGGTGGACAGCGCAGAAGGGGAGGGGAGTTTCGCAGATATCATCTGTCTACGTATGGCCACTCCTCTCTCTGGTTTCTCCATCATGGCCTCCAGTTTGTATGCGGGGATGTGTTTGGAGTTGACCAGCCGCACCACCTCAGCATCACTCAGGAAACGAGCCCCCAGCTGCAGGAGACATGTCATGCATGCCCACTTTTTAGCGGTCCAATCAAATGTGAAGGAACTGATTTAAATCCTTCTTGTTATGGGAAACCTGCTCCAAAATTACGTTTCACTGGAGAATATGTGACAGTGCAGACGCTGAAGACGCCCAGAGTTACACTTCACTGGGACTTTAAGATTAGAAGAAACAAAACTCCAGGATACATCTTAACTCATGAAATAAGGAACAGTGATCTCACATTATTCAATACGCATCAACATGAAATATGAAGTTATTCTCAGACGGATAGCACTGTTGGTTGTGTGTATAGAGTGTGTGTGTGTGTGTCATTGCGGAGCTGTCCCGGGTGCTGAAGCGCAGCGGAGGAGATCGATAGACATAGAATAAAATTCTCTATGTTGGCATAAGCTACAGTGGAGTTATATATTAATTTATAGGCCTACGTACAAGCAAATTCACTTTTCATATATTTATGAGCGATCTCTGTTATTCATTTAAGGTGATTTCAACCCATTTTGTAGCAGTTTTCATTTCAATAAACCTGCATGTGATGTGGACCGATAAGTCTTGTGAGGCCACAGGGAGCCGGCGGAATCAGAGCAAGTGTCTTTTCTATTGGCGTCACGCTCTAATTGGCTCAGCCTTGGAGAGAGAGTGGAGTGACTGAGCTCATTACAACCTAGTTAAATCACACAAACTGCCTCGAACCCTGCAGTCCTATTAGTGGGACGCGTCTTGACGACCGGCACAAGACACCTTAGGGAGCTGGGAGGTGGGCCAAGTGTAACGTAACCATTCATGTGAGCCACGAGTTATCGGCCGTGGCGATGTCTCACCTCGGGGTTGTTGATGATGGCCACGCATTCGTTCAGCTCTCTGGGCATCGGGGGGAGGCTCGGCTGATCCGTCTCAGACTTATGCTCCTCCTCTTCATCCCCCGCCACGAAGAAGCTCTTCGGCCGGGGCTCAGCGGCCGGGGAGGACAAGGGTCGGATCACCTCATCTAGGGAAACAAGGCAGAGTTGGAGACCACAGCGCGACACAAGTCACATCTGGTACGGCGTCATCACCGCCATCAGACACACACCTCTCTCCGCCTTGTTGGCAGGCGCCGGGGCAGCAGCGCTCGGGGCGGGGGGGGCGAGGGCTCGGGGAAGGCACGGCTCCTTCCTGCAGCAGGTCTCTGCGGGCCACCGGGGGGTCAGGGCCGGGGCGGACATGGTGATGGGGTTCTTCAGCGACAGAGTAGACTCCATCTCGGTCTGCTCGAAGAAGATGTACTTGATAGCCAGCAGCAGGGCCAAGGCCAGACAGATCACCTGCTCTATGTCCATGGTGATCATCCTGCAGGGGGGAGGGGCACAATAACGAGTCGTCTTAGAGTTGATTTCAAAAGCCAACACTGGCCTTGGTCTCGTATCTTAAAATATACACTTTGATGTTGATCCAGATATCATGAGGGACTGTTGAGATAAAAGCTTCATTCCAACATCGTTGCCACTATTGTCTTAAATGTCTCTTTATATTCGGACCATGTGCAATTTCCAGACACCATGGTGTCCGTGTCAGAATGAAAAGTCATTATGGGAGTAGTTCCCTATCTGGAAATAATTAAGAGATAATTAAGTGGCATCAAGAGATCATGAAATATAAGAGGTAGTTAAATCACTGTCATTATTATGTCGATGAAGTTTATACTCTATATACTACAAGTGTCGCTGGAGTTTTGACCTCTTCTTACTTCCACATCCTGATATACAGTCTCCTCTACTCATGAGCTTTATTACGTCGTGTGGAAGCATAAAATAGACGTATATAGATTTATATAAGAAGACGTAGTAAGAGTGACGTGATTTTCTCATAGACTTCTATACAACCAGAGGAGTCGCCCCCTGCTGGTCAGTAGAGAGAATGCCGGTTTAAGGCACTTCCGCATTAGTTTCACTTTTCAGTTCACTTTTCATGCATAGCATTCATCTATTTTCACACGCATGACAATGCACTGCAGGAAAGTCGGGGTAGCATATCGCTAGCCTCACCTGGTGAGATAGAAGTGCCACAGTGGTCTCTCTGGCTCGATCCTCCTGGGCAAGAGGTGGTCCAGCTCCATGCCGACCTGTGGGACGCCCACTGTGGTGTTGATGGACAAGGGCTCGGCGATCCAGCGGCTGTGGGCGTGAACCATCACCAGGCCCAGAGACTGCACGCAGAGCAGAGATCAGAAATGACGCTCGTGTTGAAATGAAAACAAAGACGGAAACAAAGGAAGAGATGTGTTACCATGATCATCTTGACTCTCTGGCTCACGGGGTTGGGTTTGTTGTCCTCCTCCTCCTCCATGACTCTGGAGAAGTGGCTCAGCTGCCAGATGGGATGGCCCTCCTGACTGTCGCGGGACAACTGCACAAGCAAAGGCCACACAGTCAAAAAACTGACATTAACACACACATACATGTACACGCATACAATGAAAAACTGCATCCTTACCTCCAGCACCAGGGAGACACACGCTGGGAAGAAAGTCATGAACACAAAGTAGTTGGCCAAGACAGACATGCAGCCAAAGCAGCACATGATTTCCAACTGCCGCACGCCTGAAAGACACAAGACAGATACTCAGGCATCAGGAGAGGTGGCGGCCATATCACCAGAGTGACTAAATCACAAAGCCACTGCTCAGTAACTGCATCCAGTGGAAACATGCTCTCAAAAGTGCTGAACACACAATTCCAGTGTTGTAACTCACGTGTTAATGAAAGCCCACCAAAAAGTATGTTATATGTTTGTTTTTTTAAACGCCGAAATTACACCAGTTATTATAGACTGGTAAACAGACATTATCATCGGAATTTCAACTTCCCAATGGTCATTGAACGCATCATGTGCGCTTCCGTCAGGAAACGTAACCAAATCAAAGCTCAAAGTAGTGATATCTCATCAAATCCATTTAGTCAGGCTTCAAGTGACGCGTTTGTGTCAGGAGCAGAAAAACGCCCTGAAACTGCCTGAGGTTCAGAGGGTTAAAGAGTAACATAACAGTGTCATTGTTCTGTCTGGTTGACACACCCAACAGTGATGTCATGGTGTAACGGCACAAGGAAAACTCTCAATGGCAGCAAGTACCTGACATGGTCCCCACTCCGATCACTAAGCACTCCACCAGGGCGTCCAGAGTGAAGGTGGGTCCCAGTACCGCCATGCCACGAGCAATGTTTTCCCTCACTTCATCCTGAAAGAAGTTAACGTACAAGAAACCAGTCAGGGCTACTGTTGGATTTCATGTCAAATGTGTGCAATATGATGAGTCGATATTTTTTTTCTTCATACTTGAGAACTGGAGCTCAAGGCAAACTTGGCAAGGGCGCATGCTTTGGAGAGGTCGATGAGAAGCAGGAAGAACGGCAAGGCCTCGCTGGAGGACAGAGCAGAAACAATGAGCTGGAGTGTTTTTAACAGAGACGCTGGTGAGGAAAGGACAGCATGCATGCAGAAGTGCGCCCTTACTTGAGGCCTGTGAGCTCTTTGTCGAGGAAGTGAATGACGACTATGCTGAATACGAAGCTGGAGAATATGGTGAAAAGGCCTGCAATGCCTGCAAGAGAGTAAATCAGGTGGATTTTAGATACATCTAGCTACAGCCAGAAGATCCACTGCATCGTATAATCATCGTAGGTGCACATCAATATTTTACCTAAAATATATTTAGAACCGAGTTGTCTCAAGTTCTGGAACTGGAAGTAGATATAGACAATGGCGATGCAGCGCGTGATGGTGAGGATGATGATGTCACTGCTCAGAATTTGCTGTAAAAAGAGAGGGAAATTAGTGGCAAGGTTACAGATGTTTATCTGAAATGTATGGTCAGGGATAATCCCCAGTGGAACTGGTTGGACATTTTGTTGCTCAGACTTAGATGTTCAGATTGATACCACTTGTGTGTCTATCGCTAATGCTACGGAGAACAACGGTGGCCTTCAGGTAATGTAAAAACGTGAAAGGCCCTCCATAGAGCCAGTGTTTGGTTTGTCCGCTCTGGGCTTCTGTAGAAACATGGCAGACTCCGTGAAGAGGAACCGCTCCCTATGTAGATATGATGGGCTCATTTTAAGCTGACAAAGACACAATAACTCAAAGTTTCAGTTGATCAAACACAAATGGAAACATAGTTATAAATAATATATAACGTTTTTTTAATAGATGCTCCACACTGGCCCTTTAAGACAGGGGGAAACAGCTAGTTGACACCTTTGAGTTATGGCTCTACCGCTGCTAAATATGCATTATGTTTTGCAGGCTTAATTGCTGTTGGTCATGACAATGCATATTCATTTCTAATAGAGATAAGGGTACTATGTCGGAGCTGAGAGGTTAGTAGAAGTACTTTTATTTTCTTCATTATTTGATATTGTTTTATTTTGCTTTTTTTCCTCATACATTGTTTCTCTGCCATGTCTACCTTGTAAAGCACTTTGTAACCGTTGCATTAAATTAAGTTTTTTATTATTATTATTATTATTATTATTATATACTGTCACTACTAAAGTGTGACATATAATCTGTGGGAGGACAGTCCTGGGGCTTTTTTTTAAGCGGTGGCCTACTCTACATTGTGTGGTGGATGCACTAGCACAGATAACAGACTTCCTCCCGACGACGTCGTTCACTCACCTCCTCCGTTTTGGGGCAGTAGAAGTTCCAGCCGCAGATCTGATCGTTACCGGTGAACATGTTCATGGACATCATACAGATGGTGAGGGTGACCGTGCCAACGATCACCTCCCAGGCGTGGGAGGCCACCAGGAGGCCGTGCATACGGAACAGATGGGTCAGCATGGTTGCAATAGGGCTGCATAAATAACACAAGAGGAGTAATGTCAGCTGGACACCTTTACATGACAACAAGTGAGTGATCATCGATAGTGATATTACAGTGTGTGGTGGGTAGAACCATGAGACCAGACAACTCATACACAGACACATGCTAGGGTGACTATGTCCCACAGCCAAAAGCAGACGAGCTGGACATCTCACCAAAGCAGGAAATTATTTCCAATGGCCAAACAAGGAGGAACCAACTTCAAAAAAATAACTATTTAGAAAAATCTAATTTTTTAATATCCCAAATACAATAGAATAAGGCTCATTTGGGTATTAAAAAAATCAGAGAAAATAGAAATCAGCCCATCGTTGTTGTCTCCGGGCTTGATATTTGAGATCAAATGAGTTTGAGACTTCTGTGGTTTCATTGAGAGAGAGACTGATGTTCACAGATATTGATTGAACTTTCCTATGCCATGGAAATAACATTATAATAAATAATTTAGGTGGCGTTCCCCTTTACCTTTATCGCCAGTAACTGATTTTTATTTTTTAAGTTACATTACAGCCTACCTACATCATTTAAACTGCGTCAATTACGTAGCCTAATATTGCCCCTGAGCACTGAAAAAAAAAGTACTCTGGCGAATCACTCCCTAAAGAGAAACCCCATAATATTAAGCTTAATATTCATTACATGAATGCGTGGATACTCCACAGTTAATAGCACGCCGTTTCTTAAATTTACGATTTGACCTATTTTGGGGGGGGGAACATCAATAAATGCTGCAATTGGTTCATACTGGTGATTTAAATCGCTTATTTGAGTCTGTCTCCCGTAGAGTCTATCTCCGCTGTCTGCGGTAGCGGAGCGGCTTTGTTGCGGCTATACTGTCAGATTTTGACGTAACTCACCGGCTATAGGCTCAGTCTTGAACGTTTGCAGGCCTATTCCCAACATAAAACAACAATGTTTGAATGAAGAGTTAAGCTTTACTCACGTTGAGCGGGTCGGACAGTGGTGGTTGAGAGAGAGGAGCGGCGGCGGCGACGAGGTTCCTGCTTCCCGGTGTGGAGCACAGACAGCCGGGTCTCGCCGACGCACGGAGTGACTCTCCTCCGCCGATGGAGCGATGGCACGCTTCGACATCATCCGACACTTCAGCCAATCACGTCCGTCACCTGCTCCGTGAGCGCGTTAGTCCACGCCCCGTTTCCTAGGCGATAGCAGCAATGGGGGCATGGCTACAGAGAGACGCCTAATCTCGCCACCACTCACACTCTGAAGGTTGCACAGAGAGCCTATAGCGTTTGAGGGAGTGGGCTAGTTCCTGAAATGTATTGATGCTTCATAGATTAGTAGTTTAACATTAATTTACGTTTTTTTATTTTCATTTATTTACTTATTCTATTGCGGTTTTGTCACGTAAAGTCGCAGCTGTGTTACTCAGTTAATTAGGCTTTTACTCTTTTAACGTTAGCCTACATCAAACTTTACAAAATTGTGTATAGGTTACACATTTGTTAATAAAAATTGAGGAATAGTATGGATATGGAATAGAGGTATGAGGGTGTGTGAGGGTGTTCAATACATTCTTCTCCTGAATGCAAAGCATGTTTTCTGGGATCAAAGGAACTAGGCCTACTGGTATTAGGGTCCTATTTGACATTTTAATGTTGGGCATCATGTTATAGCTGTATTTTTCAGATTGGACTACACATTGTTGGTTAGAGCCTATATTATACATCTTTACAACCTATATGCACATTTTTCCTCTACAAAGCTCCAAAGAAATGAGCTTTTCAAAGTACACATTGACATTTAAATGGGATTCTAAATGGGTCAGTTTTGTTCGGTTTTGTTCACGGCGTAACAAAATCTGAGCGATTCAGGATCAAGGCTGAACAGATTGTTCAGTATACAGCTGATCCAACAAACAAAGTTGACCCTGCCATTTTCAAAGTCTGTACACATGACGGGATATAACTGTAACCCACCACATTGGATGGTCCAAAATAACAAAAATACTTTTATTTATTATTTTATTAAATATCCCTGTAAAAAAATAAACAAATACACAGCCTATTGCTCAATTTTGGCTTAAATTTAGTGAGGTTCCTGCTGTTTGACGGAAGTTATGATATATTCTATTTATTTGCTTGTTGCACTGCCAGCAGTGGAGCCTAAGGATGGTCTGTCTGTCTGTCTGTCTGTCTGTCCATGGTCCACTCCACAGTTAAGACACCATCTTAATCGCTTTTATAGTGACATGATTAATGGGATGAGGATTAGATTTGCTGTGGATACTGACATTTCCAAGAGGCCGATTCCTAAGATTGTACCTCTACTCTGGTGCCCCCATCAGGCCACAAATGATTCCCTCTGATAAGCAGTTTGATCTACAAACATCATGAGAGTATCAATAATAGTGTCCATACATTGATTTATCTGATTTCTGCCATCTAGCCTGGTTTCTTGTGTGCAACAAAGTCAATAAGTGCATTTACTCAACAGGTTATTTGAACAAAATGTTGAAATACTTTACTGATTAATAAATGACGGTACTTCTTCTCCACCACAACACGGCTGCAGTATGGAATGGATTTGCTTCCAGTATCTTTAGAACTGGTCGAAGCAGACTATGAAGAAGTGGCATGTGAATAGTTTCTCAACAATAGGGACCTTGCGCAAAGTTTTATGTTGGTTCTTTTACTAGATGGATATTGTATTTGCACCATTAGGGGATCACAATGGAAATAAGCCATTAAATAGCCAATAAATAATATGTGGCTTTATTGTGTAATGTAAATGTCTGCTATAATGGTCTTCAGGTCTAGAATGTATTATATGCATTTTAATGATTGTCAACCAAAATCTGTTCAGGCCTATATCTGCCTATGCTTTATAGAGCTCGGCCTATATTGAAACCTTTTTCTCCACCACGTTAGTTTCAGATTTTATGAAGCCTACAAAACAATATAATACAAGGTTATAGATGACAGTAAAGTAGTTTACTGTATGATGTAGCTCCACTTTGACCAGCTAGAATAGTTAATAAATAATATGATCACACAACTAGGGGCCATTTTACTTAGTGATACCTTACATTGAGTACACTTTACTGCCAATACTTCTGTAGGCCTTCTTAACATTGTATACATGGCTTCTTTTAACTTTACTTGAGTAAAGGATGTGAATACTTAGCTATTTCTTTCTTGACTAACTTTTTTTAAACTAACATAAGTGCGTTATGTGTTGTCTTGACATTATGAACTGAAGTTCATCCGTTCACTGTAATGTATGACATTAAAGAAAACCTTTGGGAAAGGACGTATACCCACAGAGACACAGCATCAGCGCATGCGCCGCACTTTGTGCTGTGTTTTCGCGCCACAGTAGTCCCATCAGTCCTTTCTGAAGAAGAGGAACCTCACAGAGAAGAAGGATATCGATACCCAACCTTATTTAGACAGGTAATAACAGACCTAAAACAATACTTGTTATAACGGTGGTAATGTTAAAGCCCGAGTTTCTCTGTTGTTGTTCTTCATCATTAAGGTAAAGTTAGCTTACTAGCATGAAGAAAATAGCATTAGTAACATCCAGCTAAAGCTAGGCTAACGTTACAAGAAGTTACTGTCATGTTGGTTAGGGTAGGGTAAAGCAGCACAGGGTATAGTTAGTTACTGCCAAACACTTTGTGACCTGAGGAGAAAATGCCGCCTCAAAGGTTTTATCACATTTGCCGACTTTTTAGTTTTAATTGGGTTCATATTTTGACAGCTAGCTTATCATTAGCTGTTACAAAAAAGTTGCTAGCTGACTTTATAGCTAAGCTAATGGTAGCTGTGACTTTTAACCTTACTGTAAATGGTGAGCCCATTGTATTTAATTGTATTTATAAACAGGGGAGGCAGTAGAGTATTGTGAATTATGCTTTGATAATTTTGTCAAGCTGTCAGTCTTTTTTTTTCATTTGAATTTGACAGTTTTCTTTGTGAATGAAACAGATTTTTGTATATATATTAATATTGTAATTAGACAGTTGGCCCCTGAACATAACTGCATAAGTGCATCCTTACTGTAACTCTTAGCTGAATAAGAAGAGGCTGTCGGAAAAATAAAAGCCTCCAGCTCCAGCAGATCCATACTAACAGCTTCTCTACAGATTCATGTGTATAAGATACCACTATGTGATGCTGCACATAATGGGAAACTACAAACAAAACCTCTGATGCACGTAATGTTTCCTTGAGGCAGAGCTATTCCGCTGTAAGACATCTGAATGGCTTTACTAGTTTTAATTTAGTTTCACAGCAGCCTGTGTAGCTTTATTATGAGGGGCAGGTTTGCTGAAATGGAAGACATTGGACTGTACCTCATATACGGATATATTGAAATATTGAAATTATAAAAGATTATATACAATAAAACAATGAAATAGAACAATTATATAAAACTAGCACTCAAGGAAAAAAGAAAAAGAAAACTAAATTATATTTACAAGGACTTTGTAATCAATAAATTAATGTTAAATTGTATGTATTACATTATTCAATTACTATGAATAATGCATAATAATAAAATACTTTAAAAATACTGTAAAAAATTACAGTATTTTTTGTAAACGTGTTATTAAAGCAGCATTGAACCAGCGGTTAGTGTGGTGATTTAAACATGCTCATCTGGGAGCAATGCACACAGAAATGAGATCACATTCAAAGCTTTAACATGAAAGTCCTTCAGGGAATCCTTTTAGCTTTGCTATTTACTTATAATTCCTGTACTGTATATCACAGAACAAGTCTCTTGTTTTGAAGGTCTGGAGGTGAAAGAAGAAGTGCGCCAATTCGTTTTTTAACCACCAGGTGGGTCTGATGGTACATTGTAGCTGCAGCTGGTGACAACATAATGCATAAGTTCTGTTCAGGTAAATACATTAGACCATGGACAGTTTATATGTAATCAGTTTACAAACTAATAGTGAGTTTAAATCTATTTTTTTTCGCAGAGT